ACTTAGGTTGTTTAATCCTTTTTTGATGCAGTTAAAACACGCACCACTGGTTAATTTCTTTTATACGTTTCATTTAACATCTTCATACAATTTAAATTTTCTTATTTGTCAGGATTTGTAGTGCACACTGGAAGAACTTGGACATTTTGGCAATAAAATTATTTAAAAAAAAAAAAAGACTTTTACTCTCCAGATAGTAATATAAAAAAAAAATTCAGCTAACGTTTCGCCAATGCGGCTTCATCTGGGTTAGTAGTAGAAGAACCGCTTCAGATTATCCTGTATGATATTCTGCCCGAGAATTTTAACAAACGTTATGTCTGATGCATATATCTCAAACAAATTCTTACTGATTATAGTATTTTGGCACTTGTGTATAAAGTTAAAATCATAAATAATATTCAACGTTAAACTGGTATACAATTAAAAACATTTTATTTAGGCCTATCTATGGCCTTCAAAAAGTTGACGACTCTACATGTTTCGACGTTACAACGTTATCCTCAGGAGTGAATTACAAGAATTACTTTGGCAATTGTCTTGTAATTCACTCCTGAGGATGAACAACTTAACTAACCCTAACTAAAATTGTTTAGATTGCTTATGGCGAGTTATTTGATTTAGGGCTTGACCTTGGTGTGTTAGGTCATATAATTGGAAAGTAACACCCAAGACATTATTGAATATAACCCTACTAAACAATAATAATTTCTGTGAATGTGATTAAATATTGTCCATTAAATATGCAACAACCATATCTGAAAATGAAAACAAAGCTTATTTTATCCTACCTATCACTTTGTCTTGAGCTTAATTGGTGAAACAACACTTCACAAACTACAGAACTTATTATAATCTTAGAAAATAAGGAATGCAAAATAAAAGTTTTTACTTAAATCTAAATTCTAGTACAAAACTTAGATATTTTTTAATAATACTGTTTGCTAAATTAGATAAAAAGAAGAATCTTACGGATTAAAACTTAACATTTTATTTTTGGCTTTTTATATTTTAAAACTGTACATAATAATATTCATGATACGTATTAGGCCTATTTACTCACCAACAGATTTACAAGTGTCAAACGCCTTTTTTAAGCTGGTTGAACAAATCAAATGCACTTCATTCGTTTAAGCAGTTTTCTTGTAAATACGGAGATCTGCCAATAATTTATTAAATTCATGACGTGCCAAACGATTTAAATACGGACCATTCTTATTATGCGTTATATTTATACTTACTGTTCACTCACGAACATCAACTCTCCATTCCAGCTTTAGTAACCTAACATATAACACACAAAATGAGTCAAAAAGCGCCAATTTTGAAATTTTCGAAAATTATATTAATTTACAGTTTTGTCATAATATCTATAAATATATCTAATAAATTTTAAAATAATTCTAATATATTAAGCTAGTAAAAAGATCAGTTTAAATTATTACAATTACAAATTGTATATTTGATAAACAGTTATAAGCACATTAAATTCAAAAATAGAAACAAATGTTCAACTAACCGTTATTATCCGAATTTTTGCCGCCACTAATACTGTATAATACTTCACACATACTGTGTAACAATGCACCGAGTCTCGTTTAGACATACGATCGATTCATGTACTTTTGCCCTAATTACGCTACCACCCATCCCTCTTCTGAATATGTTAATTTTTTAAATTTTACACCAATCGGAACACCACTCGAGTTTTCCAGCCATACCTGTAAAAACAAAGTATGACGATAAAGCTCGAGTGATGTTCAATAGTTCTAATTTGAGATACTCTAATTCGGCCTAATTTGTTCACAGTTTTGTCAAATTTAATAACAACATCAATGTACAATTAATTTAACTTAAATACAATCTGATTTTTATGTTAAATAAATCAAAACAGCGAGTACGACTTTAGAAAAATGTTTCAATAAAAATAATTTATATTTTGTAAAGGCCTTGACAGAAAGAGAAAAATGTACGTACATTGTAAAAACCAAGACATTTTGTTATTATTATTACTGTACGTGTGTGCATATTGTAAGTAAAAGTTAAACTAATTAAATTTTTTAAAATAGATTTAGGCAGAGTATTCATGATGAGTTTCTGCCCATTCCAGTGTACTCATAATCAAATTTTCTTCGTTTTTATTTTCAATATTTAATTAATAATAAGTGTTTCTTATTAGAACAGAAGGTGGTAAATGCCAGGCGAGTAAAATACGTAGTTTTTTTTTACTTTGTTGTTTTGTTAATAACTCCTCATAATAAAGCTAAAGGCACGTGCCTACCACGTGAAAACTTTTCGAATCAGGAATCATAAGCAGGGGATTGTACAGGTTCTCACTTCGCTCATCATAAATTTGCCGCGTCATTACTATTATTGTGACAGTGGTAAGTGCAAGTAAAAAAAAAGAATAGTAAAGTTCCTTACACGTGCAGATTCTTAGTCAAAATATTTTAAACACAGTTAAGAACGGAAAAAACAACAAATCATGATTGATTTATTACAAGCTTTTCAATTTGTACACACGAATTTTTATTATAAAAATTGCGCATGTCTAAATAAATATACCTTCCTGAGATGGATATTTAGATAAAAAAATTATACTCGGTATTACGTACAGACTAAAAAACGTTTTAATATATTATACAGAAAACGTTCTCATTTCCAAGTTTTCGTTTACGTGACGACCTGCCATCTATCGGCGCTGTGTGTAGCAATATCAAAATATTCAACAAGTCAAAAATAATATTACTCTGAAAATAATTACAATCCCATTTCTTTATATTGTTGAACTCTGGTAAACTGTGGGAAGTTTAACTTGTTAACACAGGAGTTGTAGAAGAGTTCAAAAGATCGTAATATTTAATATATCTTCCATTTCTTAAAAAAAAACATTATAATTTTGTGATTTAATTTCAAATTATTACGTATATAGATTGAACATGCGCAGAGGTTCTGTTAGGCTGAATCGTTAAAAAATGTTAACTCTAAACTGATAATAAATTAGTTTTACAACATTAGTTATAAAAGAATATACAGATTACGATTTTTTAAAAGTCTCATCAACTTATACTGTTACTATCATAACTGCAACCCCTGGGGAAAGATTGAGAGCAGCCTCCCACGCAAGAAAATAAATAAATATATACTACTTCAACATGTTTAAAAATACTATAATTCAGTTAATTAATGAATAACAATGTACGAATAGATAGTGTACGATATAAAAATGCAAAACGAAACGGTATTTTTAATTTTATTTGCTGTTTTTTCTTTTCGATTAATCAAGTAAATTCAACATGAAAATACCCATTGGTTTAGCAAAATATGAAACCGTATGAAAGAGGCTGCCTCCTCAGTGGCACAGCAACATGTCTGTAGACTTATAACGGTTTCGATAAACGTGGTAGGCAGAGCACAGATAGCCCCTTGTGTAGCTTTGTGCTTAACTTCAAACAAACCGTATGAAAGAGGTCACGTCGGGGCAATTCGATCAGGTCAAACTTGAGCGCTAGCGAAGGTTTGATCGATAAATGTTATTACTGTTAATAGTTACAGCCTTGTTATATTTATAACCACGTAAAATCCGTTGTTGGTGGAACAAACATGTCGCTTCGAAATCAGAAAAAAAAGTAACATTTGCAGAAAATGTACGTTTTTATTCGATTAAGATTATTAAAAAATGAATGAGGATTGAAATAGTTTAATTATAGATTAATTGTTGTTTAATTGTTGATTAATTATAGATTAATTGTTGATTAATTGTTAATTAATTGTTGATTAATTGTTAATTAATTATAGATTAATTGTTGATTAATTATCGTTTAATTATAGATTAATTGTTGATTAATTATCGTTTAATTATAGATTAATTAGATTAATTGTTGATTAATTATCGTTTAATTATAGAT